TAGGGAAAGGTGTTACTTAGCAGGGTGGAAAGTATCAAAATCTGGGCTTTAGTGGCAGAGCTATGCAGCTCTGAGACATGACGAAATGTATTTCAGCTGCAGCCAGATTCCCAGAGAGGATTAGACCTCACTGAATAACTGCTGTAGGGGAGACCTAGACTCATGTCCAAGTGGTTTCTCAGTGCCCCTCCTTAGACTGTCCTCCCTTGCTTGCTTGTCAGTCACTGAGACATAAAATAAGAAGAGATCATTTATTATTGATAAAGTCTTAGCTTTTATTTATTGATAATTTTCTGGGTTCATCGTAATAATTCAGGAGCCCCACGGGATATATCAAAGACTCTGCAAACTAGCCAGGGTCTCCCTTCTCTGTTCTCTTACTCTGTGGCCGTGGGTGCCACAGAGTAATCCTGGCTGGTGGCTGCTGGGGAGTTTTCAGCCACCTCTTCCACCAGGCACTGACCCAAAGTTGGCTCTAAGGCACTGCTAACTTGATGAGTGCAGTACAAAGGCGCTAAGAAGCAGCTTTCCTGGTTTGCCATTCCTTCTCCACTGTGAAATATTCTCTGCTCTAATTCAGAGAATACTCCTCTTTTCTGTGTTCATCAGCCTTCAAACAGACTTGAGATGTTGGCTAACTAGCTGCTGGCTGAGGAACTGCTGCTAAAGCTGATCTGATCAAACACAGCATCTAGTTTACTGCTGCTTTGTTAGGCTTCTAACTGAAGCAAAGAGCCTTCTTAGCTTGCAGGATTTCCTTCCCTTCCCTCAACCCCATCTTCTCTGTGTTTTCTTTTGTTAGGGTTTTCTCCCCTCCTTTGCGTCTCTGGTACTCTTTGCTAGCCAGTATTTTTCACTCTGGATTTAACTAATAGTAATATAATTACATAGGCATCCAATGGCAACAACAGTCATTATTAACCAGCTCCATATCCCAGTTCCCCTGCCTGAACTGCCTGAACATTATCACTTCCAGGTCAGCTGGCCTGCAGAAAACATGTCTTGAATAATAGAAACGGCTAGTGGTAGTTGAGGCAGGTATCAGTGCCTGGAGGTAGATTTTAATGGCCAAAGCTAGTAGCATTATACAAACAAACAGCTTGGCATCAGTAGAGCCCCAGATTCATCAGTGCCAGCTCTTGCTAATTAGGTCCTAGTGCTGCCTATGTTTGATTTCAGTGAGCACAAAATTAGTGGCAGTAAGTCTTCACAAGACCCAGACCCACAGTTGTATTTAAGCCTCTAACTGCTATCTTAGGATATCTAACTCCTGTGGATTTCATGACGCTGCAGAGAAGTTAAATGATTATGCAAATGAAGGGAACTGCTAATCAATATTTGAATAATCGCATTATTTTTATTAGGTATGTACTTCCTATAGCGCTGTGAACTCTAGTAAGCTCTGATTCAGGGCTTAGGTCATTTGAAGGGCTTAGGCCTGAGCTGAAAGTCTGAAGCTGGGCTGCTGAGTTTACTGCAGAGCTAGACAGTGCAAAACCACATATCTGCTAACAGCTAAAGTTAGTAGGAGACTTGCATGAGGCAGTGAAAGCTGTACTTGGCCTTAAGATTCCCTCTGGAGTACTTGGTGAATTGGCTGGTTTTGGTTATACTCGATCTCTCTGATGCCAGCTCTGTGCACAAAACTCTTGACTAGGGACGTGTGACTTGCCAAACTGCCAGGGACTGTGCTCGTGCTTTAAACCTTCCCCAGCTGCAAAGCAGTCACTTCAGTTGTGTGATTTCAGTGATACTGGTTAATTTGAGAGCAGGAGCCTCAATGGATTTTGATTACTGGCTCTGAGTGGAGAACTTCTGTCTTTGTGCAGTGAAGGAGCTGATGACACGCAGTTCTGGCCATGCTCCAGTGGCCTTTCCAGTACAAACACAGATGACTGAATCAACAGTGAAGCTCTCACCTGCGCTACCTAACATGGAATAGCAGCACCTTTTGTTTCTGCATCCAGAGGCATCTTCTGAGTCAGATTTCTGCCCCCTTGCTTGCATGGTGTCTGCATGCCTTGACAGCTGCATTGCTGCGTGTGTGTTTCATGCGTAGACTGATTGAGTTTGTTTTCTGCCAGTGGCACAGCTAAAGCGCCTGGCTGGATGCTGGTGCAGTCTGAATTTTTTATCTTCTGTTAGGAGTGATAGGGGAGGGCTTCAGATTGCTACAGAGAAGGGGGTCTCTACTAGGCAGGCTGTTTCTGCAGGTAGCGGGGATGCGGGCTGGCTCTAGCTTCTTCTCTTCTACAACCTGTGCTCCTCCACCCAACTTCTGTGGGGGTTGCTGCGATGAGGAAGGTCCCAAGCTGTTCTGAGTGCATTTTTTTTAGCTAGTATTGGCCATGGTGTTAGATGCAGCCCACTCTGGGGAGAAGGCGGCCCTTAGGGAAGAGGTGGGAACCAGTCCCCCATGCCGAGGCTGTGCATGAGAAAAGACACTTCTTGAAACCTTTGTGGGAAAGTAACAGTATGAGGGAGGGACTACTGGTTGACTTTGTTCATCTTGTCCCTAATCAGACCACTCAACCCACAACCTGTGTTTTCACAGAGCTTGCTGGAGTCATGTCTCATTTGCACACAGCAAGCAGAAAGGACACCATCTCCAGCTTGCTGAAAACCCAGCTCTGCCAACTTGCAGGAGCTGAGAGGGGGGCCTGGGAGACCTGAGGGTAGTGGGAGCTCTCCCTCCCCTAGGTAGAGCTCAGGGGCTCTCAGCAGAAGCCTTGCTGGAGATGTGCCCATGAGAAACCAGCAAAGCCGGGATCAGATTGCAGCAGGCTCCTCCTCCAGACAACAGAGAGGGAAGGAGAGGCGGGGAGCCAGGAGCCAGCAACTTCACACTGCCTACCTGCACCTTGCCAGCTGGGTAGAGGGACCGTGGTGGGGGTGAGCATCTTTGAAACCTACATCCCATGGGGTGTGCTGAGTCCCCCAGTACTCTCTGCTACTCAGGGCACATCTCCCCACCACCACCACCACCTGCTTCCAGCCTGGCATGGAAAGCCTGAGCAACAGCCTGAAGAAGAAAGCAACAGAGAGGCACCACAGGGCAGAAGTGATGATCGCTGGAGAGCAACTGAGGTAAGAGGCAATGGGACCCAGGTGTATCCCTTCTCTCCTCTAGGCTGGGGCAGGGGTGTGCTCAGGGTTAGTCCTTGGGACTTAGACTACTTCCCATTAGCAGGAGGCTCAAGGCATTATCTTTGAGTGAGCGCTTTTGTCCCAAATGGTAATGTCTCCCTCTCCCCTTTGCTAGCTTATTCTCCCCACTCCCACCTAACCAGAGGTGAACCAGTTCCTTTCCCTTGTTACCTTGTTCTTCTGCTCCTCTCAGCATGACTGGGGCTCACCTGCCCTTCACCTTCAGGTATCTGAAGATACCTTTTACTTTAGATAAAAACAGGTTTTCTGCTCCCTTCGCATCCTCCCTCAAACTTGGAGCTGGATGTGGTGATACTGAGCAGCTGTGGCAAGGTCTCTGGTTCTTGGCTGCATGGGAGCAGTACTGCCTGTGTGCAGTTTTGGTCTGTGGTTGGACTTTCAAAGATGATTCAGGAGGCTGTCCCGTGGGTGCCATACTCCTGAATCATTTTGCACAGCAAAGCATAGGGTCGTCTCTTTTGAAAGCCACTTTTGAACATTTGTTTTTTTGTTGTCCCAGTTCTTGAGAAACTTAGAGAGGTTTTTTTCATATGACCATGAAAATACATTCTGCTCTGCAAGAAAGCCTGCATGACTGAGAAAACATTTTGCTTTTCCTTGTGGATCTTGTGGGGTTGGAAAAGCAAAACTGCTTCTAAGTGTGTGGCTGTAGGCTTTTCTAGCTCTTGAGCACAGTTTGCTTGTTTCCGTCTGGGTCCATTCTGCTTCATTGTAAAACGTAGGTAGCAACTGGGAAATAAATCTTTGAATAACGAGAAGAACCCAGAACAGAAGTTTGCTAGTGCAAGATTTGTAAAATTAGCTCTGTGTATCTATGTTATACCTCCTCAGTGAGTCATATTAGCCTCAGCTTCATTTATTTGTATCATAGTAAGGATTTATAACTACCAAATAAGGATTAAGGCTCCATCTTGCAATTACAGCCCATGTCCAAAGTGGCTGGATTTTAAATATGTAGTGATGGTCTGTTATCTTTCCCCAATACTGCTGTCCTAGCTCCAGAAATTAAATCTTTTCCTTAGGTAGCAACTGGGAGAACTGTTGCGGGGAGGATGGAGGACTGCATCAAACCTTTCTGCCTTTGGAAGATTTGCAGCCCAAATTATAAGCCAGGTTTACAAAATGAGCTTAATTTTCTTACAAGGAAAAGCAGTAGTTGATCTAAGAGTGAGTTGCCTCATTTCAGTAATTCAGTTCAAGAGGGGTAAGGTTATTACTTTTTCCATCCCATGGGCAGAGCGGGCTTATTCATATTTATTTTTCTGGTGTTTTGCCCCTCCCAAGTGACTGCAGTTTGAAAAGGGTCTTAGAGCGTGGGCTAAAGGAGAGGGGGTCAGGTAGTCAGAGAGACAATAAAATTATCAACCCATGGGTTAAAACTGCAATCAGATCCGTGAAAGGGGAATGATCTGGCTTCCTAGTTCTTTTTACAGGACACCAGCATATCAGATTGCCTATCAGTCTGGTAGTTGTGTGACTGTAAAGAGGAGAAAGGGATACAATAAATCTGTTTGTTGAACAGAACTATTCTCCCTTACTGCACAGTGCCCTAGTTTTTGGAAGCAAGGGAAAGACACAGTACAAATGTTATACTCTTCTGACAACTGATACTACCAACCCATTTTTTCCTCCCAATATTTGTCTGGAAGCTTCACTTCTCTCTCACTGCCAACCTGAATCACAGAATGGTTTAATGGTTCCCTGAACCATTAAAAAGGATGCTAAAATCCTGAAGGAAGACAAGGTTTGTGCAGGGCAGGAATATCTTTCTGTTAGAGTGACTGGGACGATCTAGGAGAGAGAACCTGAAACAAGCAGACATGCCTTGTGGTGCACTCATTTTTTTCCCCCCAAAGTTGGAGTGCCTTGGAGTATCCTTGTCTGAGTTAGGGAGCTCCCAGAATCTCAAACAGTTTTCAGGCTGAGCCCGTTGCAATGAGAATGCATCTTGAACTGACTGGTCCTCTTCTGTTTGTTATGCTACGGTGAGCTTAATGCAAGTTATTTTTCTGGGAAGTATGGCGTGGGGTAGGAAGGAAGCATAAGCCAAATTCAAGAGTGTGGAGACGAGCTGAGAGCTCTTGTTTTCAGTGTATGCTAACCCCTGAAACAACAACACTGGGAGACACGTGCTGTTTAGCAAACACCTGATTGTAGAGAGCAGACCCGTTCCGCCCTTGGGCGGCCTGGATTGCATCACACCGCTGACCTGCTCTTGAACACTTGAGCTCTTTGCCTAGAGAACAGCAAGTGGATTTCATCTAGTGCAACTGCTCTTTTCTTCAGCTGTATTTTGTGGGTGACGGATCCAAATGCCAGTGAAAGACCCCATGGTGTCCAGTGCTCATAGCAATGGAGAGGTGGGTGGGATCAATAATCCTTTTGCTGGTGCCTTGGCACGGAGCAGTTGCATCATTCTCCTTCGGGCTGGGCAGGAACCTTTTCTCAGTGCAGAAAGATTGGAAAGAGAGCTGCTGGACAGCAAAGAGTTTAAAAGCCTGGGGAGGAAGCCTGGAGAGAGACTCCACCCCCTGCTAGCTCCCTCTGTTGCAGCTCATCCAGCTGAAATGAGAATTACCTGAAGCCAAAGCACAGGATGCTGAATGCTTGAGCATCTCTCTGTCTCTTGCACTTTCAGGAACTTCAGCTTGACAGGTGGAGAGCAGCTGTGTTTTGTAGGTGATATGAAACTTCCCAGGGCTCTGAGTGTCAGATGGGTAGGGATGGGGAAACTGAGGCAGGGAGGCTGAAAGACCTTGCCTCAGGCAATAGCAGAAGGAAGCAGGACTAAATGTCTGCACTGTGCTCTGCAGCTTACCCCCTGATAAGCAATAAAGGAGCCGTGCAGGACTGCCCTGGGAGCTGCAGTCTGCCTGGCTTTTCATATGTGAATTCTGTAAGCCTTGATCAGCAAATAATGCTGCTGTATCTGTATAAAATCTCAAACATTTGTTTTCTCTACTTTCCACTTCCTGCCCTGCCTCCTCCCCACCATTGTGTTTAACCAAACAAACCTTTGCTCCATCTTTATGATTCTTTGGCTTCCAAGGAAGTTTGCAAATCCCTCTCAGTTTGGTTTGGCCAGAGGGATGAGTCTGTTCAGTGTCAGAACAGATTTCTGAGCCAGAACCAGCTGCGCAAGTGAGGGGTAAGGGAAAGGGTTCATGGGGGTGACCAGGAACAAAACAGATCATGAAGAAATCATGGGGATACTGGCTGCTGTGCATAAGGTCTGTGAGGGCCCATCAGCTTCCACGGACATGCTGCTTTCTAGTCTGCAAGAGGGAAGAGGAATTGGACCTTGTGTCTCTCCTCATCAGAAAGATTAAGATACAAATTTCTGCTGAAATCTTGGTATTGTGTTTGACAGAACTGCTGTGTCAGACTCTCATACCTTACATCTCCTGCTGTTTCTCTTTTTGTTCCAGACATACACTCTTGCATGAAGATCTCACTAGGTGTTCTGAGCATTGTATGTGTGCAGCAGAGAGCAGGAACTGGGTTCCTGGGTGGCATTTTGTAAGAGAGTCCAGTTAGTTTAGTTGCAACAAATGGCTTATCTGCACAGAGGTATTCTGGAACAGGTACTTCAAATTCAACGCTATCGTAATGTGAGTGTCTTCAGGTATAGATGAAGCCTTGTACAGTCTCTCTCCCAGGTATTTGTCATGGTCAAGTGAACCAGCAGTTCTTTAATAACTGCATTAAAAGCATTAATCATTCTTAGATGTAAAATATACTCAGTAGATTTATGTCTCAGTCAAAGAAACAAGAGGAAGGCAGGCTTTCTCCTGTGAAGAAAACAATTATGATTTCAAGTACTGTACAAAATGTTCAAAGGTGGTGAGTGATTTATTTGGATACTCAGATTGAGGCACTGTTAAATTAAGTGCTAAGGCTGTGATGCGCTGAAAATTGAGCTCACTTTAGATGCCTAGTTGAACTGCCAAAGGTTGTATGCCTGGCCAAAATACTGGGCCAACAGAAGGTTTGGTGGTTCTCTATTGAACTCAGATCTTTGAATGAAGTGGGGATGTCTTTCTAGAAGAATCATGTAACGCAACTTGATGTGGGAGTCACTAGGTAAAAGTCCCTGGCCTACATTATTCAGAAGATCAGACTAAATGATCAGAGTGGTCATGTCTGGTTTTAAAAAGCCTATTAGTAAGTTTTCAGCACAGATGAAAATGAAGACTAGAAAGTAGGCTTGTACTTACAGAGATTTCTTTTTGAGGTTCACGTCCCATCTTCCTGTATGTACGTTTAAATATAAGAATGGAAACAAAACACCTTTATACCACTTTGGCAGGGCTGACACAGTCATGCCGAGCTCTCTCCTCCCTTCCGGAATGTACTTGTGTTTTTGCAGACTTGGAAGGCAGCAAGCGGGGTTTTGCTGAGCCTGTCTGCAGTGCTCGTTCTGCTGCACGGCCTGCATGTGCCTCTCTAGCAGCAATTTTACAGGTATGCTGTTGTGCCTATTGCTGCCTTTTACCGAGCATTTAACTGTAAAGGCAGGAGTAGAAACGATCCTTGTGATGACCTGTTTGATGACCTGTTTTCAAGGCTATTAATTTGTATTTGATTGCTGTGGCAATGTGAACTGGAATTAATATCCTTGAAAGATCCACTTTGACATTTGAGATGCTCAAGGTCTGTTTACATGGGTAGGAGGTGAAGGGAAGCTCGGAGAGCTATTCCCCACCAGCTCCTGTGGAGGTGTTCCTGCTTCACAAAGACGCACGCTTTGTGCACAGTGACTACAGCTCTGTGGGATTGCTCTGACTTTTACTGTATTGTTATACAGTAAAAGTAGCACCTTTTCCGTAACCAGAAGGCCTCTCGCTTCTCTGTGTGTCCTAGATTCAGACTCTCAGTTATGAGAGCACATGAAATGTGAACCCTCAGAAGTAATCAGGAGAGGAGCTGCTTGGGTTGCTCCAGCAGTGGACTTCCAAAACACCCCTGGAAGACTGACTGCCTTTGGAAAGAGAAGGGAAGGCCCGTGCCAAGAGTACGACTTGGCCTATTATTGGTGAAAGCCCTTTCAGAC